CCTCATTGCATCGCTCATCATCTGCTCGAACGCAGCCTTCGCTTGATTAGCTCTCAGGGCGTTCTCTCTTGCAACCTGAAGCGCTCGGTTCTGTTCCGCGAGTTTCTCTCTCATAAGCTGGGATTCTTCAAGAATCACAGCGTGCGAGATCGCAACCGCCACTTGATCAGCCACGACCTTAACAATCTCAAGCTCTTGATAAGTCCAACCCTGCGGCTGTCTCAGTGGAAGCACACACACCAAGATTGCATAACACATGTGAATCGCCTCAGGTGTCCCGCCTTTAAAGTTACAAACCCGAAGCATCGGTACTCTTATCCCAACCGTAGGACCTGGCTTACCTCGGCTAGTCACTGAGGCAAGCACAGAACCAGCACTCAACATATTCACCTCTTCGCTTCTCTTAATCCTCACAACATCAGACTCAGTAATAGGTATCGAAAACCCAGCATAACCACTCACGTTCTCATTCTCATTCTCATCATCGATCCTCGGTCTTAACTCGTGCGTAAGATTCATCTCCGTCTTGATCTCATTCGGGATCCAAACCGCACAGTTCTTGAGCCCAAGAGTCTTGGACAACTCCACAAGCGTAGTGTATAGAATGGTGTGTCGATCAAGAGACGTCCTAATCTTGGTAGTGAGCATACGAACATGCAAACTCGTCTCAGTCTGCTTCATAATGATCCCAACCTCACGATCAAGCTCTCTGGTCTTCTTACTCAACATAAACTCACGAACCTTAGCCTTAAGAAGCAATGGTAAGAGAGTGACTAACGAGAGCGCCGTGAGGAAAGAGACGATCCCAGTCAGCATCTTGAAGACAGTGACAGCTGTCATGACCCAAGCCCAGTGAGGCCCGTATGTGAAACCAGCGAGCAAATGGGTCATGCCACAGAGGACAATGAAGGCTATAAACTCGCAGACGACCCAATTGTACGGTGAAGGCACATTGGTGCGGCTCACGAAGTAGAGGAGCTCGATTGGGATCGAGAAATAAGCGATTGCGATAAGAAAGTCGCCGACTTTTTGCGAGTCGAGGATTGTCTCGTAGCTAAAGAGACTGTCTTCGTCGTCGCAGTTGCATATCGATAAGCTACCGTCGTCTTCTGCGGTGGTGGCGACGGAGCCGATTACGAAGAAGAAGAACACTAGCCATTGGACTAACAATGTCTTTAACATCGATTACTGTTTCCTGAGTAAAAAAAGGGTGAGTTTTTGATTCGTAGCCACAACTAAAAGTCGAGATTTTTCAATTCAGTATGCGTTTAATTACCCAGAATTGTTCCATTACCTATGAACATAGGGAAAATCAAAATCAGAAAGATTCAAAATTCAAAACTTGTTCAATGAGAGTAAAGTTTATGTCTTTGAGATTATAAATCCCCAGAAGTTGCACACATATGTAATCGAGAAAATCCAAAATCAAGATGAGAAAAATAGGGACATTTAACATCAATTTTCCATCTCACATTTGAGAAATCCTTTACCTGCAAAGTAGTGATCAGCCCCAGAAAACGTAAAGCTGTAGAAGAAGAAGTCTCAACGATTGTCGAAGTCTTTGAATCTCTCTCACGAAACTCACCGGAATGTAGAGAGAGAGAGAGAGAGAGAGGTTAGGGAAGTTAATATGTGTGAGCAGAGTCTCTCTTTCTCTTTCTCTGTGTCTGCTGCGAGAGAGAGAGAGAGTAAATTTACGTTTTGGTGAGAGAGAGAGAGAGGAATTGGGGGGGGGAGACTGAAGAAGGAAAGAGGGTGGGGCCCAGAAACGGTACATGAAGAGAACATAGACGCTTTTCGTTTGGAACACAACACGAGCACGACATCTTCTTCTTATTGACCTACGTGGACTCTTACCAAATTCAGTTCTTGAGGATTCTTCTTCTTCTTTTTCTAATCTTTCTTTTTCAGGTTTATTAATCACTGTATTATCAAGATTTGATACCTATCCAAAATTTATTCTGGTTTTGGATGACAAATCACAACCTATACAAAAAAATGTAGTATTTTGTTAATGGATTAAAGATATGTAGTATTTTGTTATGTCCAAAATTAGATAATTATATTAAAGAAATATTTAATTTTATTATGGATCACATGGATTTTTTAGAAAGTGAATTTGATTACAGTATCAATATACTGTGTGATCAGAGTGTTTGATGTTATTTTCATAAACATAATTTTATTAATCATATAATAATTTTCATTGTCAATGATTGATTACATGACTAAATAGGGAGTCTAAGTTTATATTGAAAGTTTGGAAAAAAATAATCGCAGTAAACAATGATAACTACTAGACTATGAAAGTATGAAGTCTAACTTCTCACTAAATATATTTCTAAAAAGTAAAAAATAGTATTAAATTAAACGGTACAATTTGCGGCTGAAATTATAATACTCCTATAATTAATTAGTTCAGTTTTCGTTTTTTTCGTTTCTAACACGTTATATTGACCTACCTTGCTACTTAGACATGATTTAGTTAAACACTCCATCTTTGTTTTTCTATTCAATTATAACATACCGAATCAATTTTTTCCTGGGCCTACCCCAACTTAACTCTTATCAGAAAATGGAGTCTTAAGTGCAGAGCATCTCTTTGTATCCAAAATATATATCACTATATTATCGTCAGAGCCGGTCCGGAGGGCAAGCAAGTGAAGCCATCGCTTAGGGTCTCACATTATAAAATATTTTTTTTGGGAGAATTTTTTTTTTTACATTAACAAAAAGGCCTAAATTTTTAGTTATGCGTAGGGTATCAAAGAAAATTTTGAAACTTTGGACCGGCCCTGATTATCGTGGTACTAATTTTTCTTGGCACTTTTATCATTTAATTGGTAATATTTCACTTTCAAGAAATCAATATGATCAACCACTAACTTTTTTATAAAACCGGAAATTTAGGAAAATATTTGTATCCATATGATGATATGAATACACATGCAAATCCGTACGTATATTTTGATTGCCCTATTAAAAATTAGTACAAATGACATATAAGTTATAACTACATAACCTCAACAGTAACGAACATCAGATTTAGGATGACTTTATGTATTGGTTGATTAATATGAATTTGATCTTATGGACTCACTAGGAACATTTTATGGTCAACGTAAATACGTAAATCCCAATATAAATATTATATAAATAACTCCAACAACGGAGGCACCAGTGGTCTAGTGGTAGAATAGTACCCTGCCACGGTACAGACCCGGGTTCGATTCCCGGCTGGTGCATTTTATTTTCTGATGAACAGGTTTTTTCGTTTACATTTCTTTTCCCTGATGAAACAGGTTTTCTTTCTTTTTCTGAATCCAATGCTATTATCGGCCACGTGTCGAGTGATGAACACGTGCTGATTCCTTTCCTTTTCTGACCACATTCTCGTCACTAATTCAAAACAAATGTCTGGTCCTTTTAAAAAAAAATCCTTGGTAAGAATGCATGCATCAGAAAACTTTTATCAAAGAAATAGAAATAGTGGCAAAGAAATAGAAATAGTGCATGCACCTTTGCCACTTAAGCCAATACATATGCAAATCAAAACAGATGTACATAGAATCATTTTTACTTTTTGCATGAGCGACCACATATATAATCTTTTGTTTATAAAGGCGATCCAGTACAAGACTAGCTAGTGTTTGAATACGTTGGTTTCATATATACAGCAAGAGCGGGACTGAGTGTTTAGATACGGAAAATCATCAAATTGATTAAAGTTGTTGGTGATTTGATTTACACTTTTTAGTCATATGATTTGACCAATTAATTTCATATACCTCTTGTTTCGGGTGACATAAAAAAGTCGAATACTTCTTTTAAAATTTAGTAATTTCATGTATATAAAACGTGTATCCTTGATCCTTCTCGCGTTTTTTTGGGATCAACTTTTTTTAGTTACGCCTTCCTTAGAATATATATATACGAGTTTCTATTGAGTACTCTTGAATATGAACTGTTATCAAGAGTACGTCGCAGCAAATCTCCTTTTGTTTTCCACTAATAACGTAATCGAACATTCACCTTTCTCATTTCAAAAAAAAAAAATTACCTTTCTGTGACAGAACTCAGAAAGCTTAAAACAGTCACTCTCTGTCTTATTTAATATTCGAGCTTGGCAGTTAACGTACTAAGTTTTATCGAATGTAAAAACACTAAACAGCCCAACAACTCCGAGCCATTTAGCAAACCGGATGATGTCACTATACTTACGGTACCAACTTATCTTGTAAAATATCTGACAGTTTTACAAAATTAAGTAAGAAAAAGAATTCAAAACAAACATTAGCTTTTTTCTTTTTCTTTTATTTTTTATTTTTTTTGAACAACACATACCTTACATTGAAACCAAGGATTACAACAGAGCCTTCAAGAGATTTGAAACCTACAGCAAAAAGAACATATTACAATTCTTCTACTGAAAAACACCAAACTATGTGACTAAAAGTGAGGGAGCTGTATGATCTGCTGAGCTCTAGAGAGAGGATCAAGGTGACATCGGAGCAAGCTTTTTATCTCAAAAATAACAGCCGATGCAGGTTTGGAAAAGGAGTTGTGTAATCTTAAGTTGCGTTTTTTCTATATGAAATAAATTGAGGCTTGAAAGGCAAGACGAAGAATCAATGCGGTATTCTTATCGCGACAAAGATTCTTAAGCCATCTAACTCCGTCATCAAACAAGTTTGGAGGAGAAACATGGGGTTTTTCATAAAAATATCGCTATATAATCACAGCGTAGGAGCAATCAAAGAACTGTTTTCTTTATAGTACAAAAAGTATTTTTACGTTTTCTTTTGTCACCACACCAATGCTATATTTAGATTTAGCAATCGATTTTGTATTTTTTTGGTCATCTATACAAAGACATATTGATACGATCGCATCTACAATTTTTTTGAGAAAAACATTTATAAAAGAAATCAAAATTACTTGCCGAAATTTTTACTAAAATTTATATTTTGTATTGCTAAAGAACTAATTACAAGTGCACATAAATTATACGGCGATCTAGCTTATTCTTAAATGTCTTCAAAATTACACAGTATACGAAATAATACACTATATATATTAGGTAACTAGTTAATAATTCATGGTTACATGAAGGAAATAACAACATCAAACCCAACATACATATTGCACAAAGATGATACATAATAGCATGTTAAATATAAATAAAATATGCTTTTATCCATATGATCGGCATATTAAAAGCATGCAAATATCTATGTATTTGTGTGCTAGACCTAGTATTAAAGAGACCGTTAATTTGGCCATCCAAACGGCTGATTCGATGACGGCGCTGGCTGATAGTAAAACGGAGCCGCAGGGTGCTGCCACTTCTTGAAAACCGGCGGCTTCTCCGCCTCTTTTCCCCACCGCTGCTCCTCCCTCTTCATTACCGCCGGTGGCTTCTGTGGCGGCGACTCCGTAGGTGATAGAAAAGGAATAGCCACTTTCCAATTCGCTTCGGAAGGGTTTATCTTAAGAGGCGGTGGAGCCCGCCGCTGCAGCCTACTCGACTTTCGGTTCCCGCTGCCGGAAACATTTCTCGCCGTGGACGACATAGCCGGAGTTTATTGTTGTATATTTTTTTTAATATTTATGAGTGAGTATGCGTCTGTATGCATGCATGTATATATAGAGAAGGGAGTGTTGATTGTCCAAGACTCAAGAGTGTGTGTGCTTGGCTTGTGTTTTGGTTAAACGGTCGAATCTTTTAATTATTTGCTTTTTTCTTTTCTTGTTCAAGTGTTTTTCCTTTTGACTAGTATAGACTAAACTACTAAATTATAAGTTTGACTATATTCTCTCTTTTGTGAGGACTAGTAAGTACTTTTTTCCTCTTTTTAATTTTTGTTTTATGAAACTGTTTTCTTTTAGTGCTTAAAAGATTATCAAGATATGTAAAAGCTCGTCAGTTTTGCAAACCCAAAAATCATAGGTTTCGATCCATTGTTTCTCTAGTTAGTCTTTGACGAGACATTTTGTAAATCCATGATGCATATTTTTTCTGCTTATATTTAACCTTGATTACAATCGAAACAAACAATATTCAACCAGTTACCCTGGTAACTACAGTTCAGATAATAATCATAGAAAGAATTTTTTATTAATTTTGTTTATACCAAAAATAGAAAATTACAAAAAAAATCCAAATTTTGTTTTAAGCACAATTTTTTTTTAATAATTCCTGGTCTTTTATCTATTTGGTCTAAAAACATATAACTATTAGTCATAATTCTGTTGGTGCCAGTTTTTTCCCAAACAAATCATTTTTTCAGTTAGTAGTATGTTTGGCATTGTTCGTAAGTTTTGTTAATATTTAATAATTATATGATTTAAAAAGCTAAAGACGATATGAACTTTAGACCAAGGAGATAATATAACTTTTTTCCCTATACCAACTTTAGACTAATTAATACCTTGATTACCTATTTGTTTTCTTGAGAGATTTTGTGTGCCACATATAATGGTAAGAATCATATTCTAGTTTAAAACAAAAAGCAATGTGTCTTTGAATAATTAATCAATCTCTTATTATAATTATCACAAAAATAATTAGCGGTTTAGGTTCTCTAGAAAATAACCTTTATTCAGAACTGAAATCAGATACGACAAATTTATTGATGTGATATCGTATTATTTTACGAATATTAAGCTTGTCCATTGGATTTCAACCGTAATATTATAAGGAGTATGTATATACATTAAAATAGACATTCTTGTAAACTACCTCTGTTTAATTAAAGTTTTAACGGTTGGAACGGACTAACCTGTTTGCAAGACAATTTTTAACCATGTATATGAATTTTTTTTGACAAAAAATTCTTACATATACAATATATATATATATATATATATATTATATATTATATATATATATATTATATATTATATATATATATATTTCTTTTCTACTAGCATGATAAATAATAATTGCAGGTATCCGATAAGCTTATTGGACAGCATAAACCTTGATATTAAAAAATAGGTTTTAAATAAAATAATTATTTCTTTTCGTCCAAAAAAGTAATAACTATTATATCTATTTTACAACAAGAAAAAATGAAACATATCCAATCATACCAACGGTTCTAACCGATGAACCCAAAAAAAACATATCTTCTCGACCCAATTTAAAAAATCACTGAAAAGAATTGTATGATTCAACAAAAGAAAACTCTTAAATCCCAAAATTAAATAAAAACTAATTGATAAAATACAAAATGTGGCTAATTCTAGAATCCTACAATAGATAAGGAACCAAAAGTCGTGAGGAAGAAAAATAAAGGTAGTGCTTGGTGACATCAGAAGCTCTTCTAAAGCCTGACTTTGTGTGTGGAAGAAATTAGAAGAACTCTAAGCAGCTTTAGGCTTGGGAGTCCTCTTCTTCAGAATCCTCTTGGAGGTCGTTGTCGAATTCTTCATTCCGATAAAAAATAGCAAAGCCCCGAGAAGTGCAACACTCTGCGTGATAAAACATTGATGCAAAAGAATGAGACTCATTGTAGAAGATTTGGGTTTTCAGAAGAGGCCATAAAGGAACATTCTTTTTTCAGAGTAGGTTCAGCTCGAAGAACAAGAACCCGTCTCACGGCAAAAGCAAGCCAAAACGAGTAAATGAAGAAAGGTGTTAAGACAAACCTGTAAGAATTCAGTCAATAGAAGAGAGAATTGGCGGTCCTCGGGTCCGTAGTTGTAGAAATCATATAAAATGGGACTGACAACCACCAAGTAGACAGCCTAAGAAACAAAGAATTGAGATCAAAAGTCAATACAACAACTAAGCTTTGGATACTTTAAACATAAGTTAAAAAATCCTAACCAGAAGATGGGCACCGAAGATGTTGCCGATAACAAAGAGTAAGCCTCCGAGTCCTTTCAGAGCAACAATAGTCCACACGACTTGTTTCACCTGTTAAAATTAGTTTTCCAAGTCAGACGCAACATGAATACAGACACCATAAGAGACATGAAGACAAGGAATCAACGCAATAAAGTAAGTGCAATGGGCATACCTCTAAGTTGGGCAATGCTACTCCAAATATGGAAGAGAGATGTGCTTTGGTCAGATCAAGCTTTGGAGCTAACTCTATGGCTGCTGGACCACCGTCAGTTCCAAAGTCATTGAACCTAATAAGAAGTCCAGAGATGCATAGTTCGGATGTCGTAAGATAATCGACAAGGGGATACTAAAAAGGCCTCTACACATATGTCTAGTGAACTTTCAAGCCTACAGATGTGTCTACAATTCAGATAGCTAAAAGGTTTTTATTTCAGGATGGAATTGAACTAGCAGAACCTACACAACATTCCACCGTATCTCACTCACTTCCCCATACATCAGACCCAAATAGTGATTAAAAAACAGACCCTTGGTCATCTAAGTAGATAGAGATCATATGAACAAAAGGGCTTATTATAATAATAAGGCTCAAAATCAGAGATACTACACAGTCAATCCAACTCTTTTCCTTACAACTTTTAAATCAGAGAGGAAAACTTCAAAAGCAGTGAGGGAGAAATAAGATCAACAATGAGGAGGAGAATCACACAGTGTATGCTTAAATAAGAGAAGAGATCTGGATCGTTACATAAAGTAGTAAAAATCAAGCAAGGGATTATAAGAGAAGCCCTAGATTTACCCTAGATGTGGCTTAGACCAAATCAAACAGTTGTCAATAAAATCGGATCTAGCAAGATAGAATTTCGTCGAAGAAAGATGTCGAACCCTAATCACAAATAACCGGAGAAACGAGAGAAGAAGAGATGAGGAGGGAATTGAAAGAGAAAAGACTCACATTTGCCAAGCGGAGAGGATGAATAACGAAGCGAAGAGAACTCTTCCAAGAAAAGAGAAGAAACCCATTTTCTCGTTCTGGTCTCAAGGTGTCGCAGGTGCTCTGGTTTGTCGTCGGAGGGATCCTTTCTCGGTGGAAGCTTGCTTAAAGTTCGGTTCCTCTGCTTTGTCTTTTTTTTTTTTTTTTTTCTGAGACAAAAAGCTTAAAGGTGGAAAACCAAAGAAAAAAACCTAAACCAAATTTAACCGAAGTATCTAAATTAAAACTCTTAACCGAAAGAATATATTAATCATGATTTCTTTCTTTAGTTTTGTGTTTGTAGTGCTTCTTGACCCCAAAATAGTATCGTCCGCATTACTATAATTTGGTTTAGTCGCTTACAATTTATCTCGATGTGAATGTTTGTTGTAATTACATCAGTTATGACCAAAGCAAAAAAAAACATGCTAACCACATAAGTTCCAGTCACGGTCAGCAAAACCGGACATACGTCATCAACGGTCATTGACAGTCCCACACACCAAGCCCAAACTTGTTTTTTTTTTAATTAGATAAACAGAATCCATATGTTTCTTGATAACGTTCTTCTTCTTCTTCTTCTTCTTGTATATGAACCAGCCTTTTGTGAATGAAATCTTAAAATAGGTTGTAGAAACATAAATGGCGACCAAAGATATCGACTCTTACAGTGAGCGCAAAGCTTTCGACGAGACAAAAACAGGTGTGAAAGGTCTTGTTGATGCTCACATCACTGAGATTCCTCGAATCTTCCGTCTCCCTCAAGGTGTCTTCTTATCCGACAAGAAAACTTCTGTCTCTGCCTCGGATTTTGCGATCCCTACCATCGACTTTGAAGGCCTCCACGTCTCGCGTGATGATATCGTCGAGAAGATCAAAGACGCTGCATCGAATTGGGGATTCTTCCAGGTGATTAATCATGGTGTTCCTTTAAACGTTCTTGAAGAGAGTCAAGAAGTAGTTCGTAGGTTTCATGAAGAAGATCCTGAGGTTAAGAAAACTTACTTCACCCGTGATGCCGCTAAAAGATTTGTCTACAATAGTAACTTCGATCTCTACAGTTCTTCTTCATGTGTTAACTGGAGAGACTCGTTCGCTTGTTACATGGCTCCTGATCCTCCAAACCCTGAGGAACTCCCAGTGGCTTGCAGGTACATAACTTCGATTTTTCATTGAGAAATCTTATGAACCGTTGGGCGTTGAGTGATCTTAATTATGAAGTATTGGCTCAGGGATGCTATGTTCGAATACTCAAAGCATATGATGAGATTAGGTGATTTGCTCTTTGAGCTTCTCTCAGAAGCTCTTGGTTTGAGATCTGATAAGCTTAAGAGCATGGATTGCATGAAGGGTTTGCTTTTGCTCTGCCATTATTATCCCCCATGTCCACAACCTGATCTAACTATCGGCACAAATAATCATTCAGACAATTCTTTCCTCACAATTCTTCTTCAGGACCAAATCGGTGGTCTTCAAATTCATCATCAGGACTGTTGGGTCGATGTCTCTCCTATTCCAGGGGCTCTAGTCATCAACATGGGAGATTTCTTGCAGGCAAGGCAATTTATTCATTGATCCATTCTTTTATAACTTTTCTTTTATAACTTTTTAAAGTAAAACATACAATGTTGTTAAGAATCTGAGATTACCTTTTGATATGCAGCTAATAACGAATGACAAGTTCATAAGTGTGGAGCATAGGGTTTTAGCGAACAGGGCAGCTACACCGAGGATATCAGTAGCGAGCTTTTTCAGCACAAGTATGCTTCCGAATTCAACTGTTTACGGACCAATCAAGGAGATTCTCTCTGAAGAAAACCCTCCAAAATACAGAGTCATCGACTTAAAAGAATACACACAGGGGTACTTCAAGAAAGGCCTCGATGGAACATCGTATCTGTCGCATTACAAGATATGAAAAAAAAAATACTTGAAATGAGTAAATCAGCTCAGGTTTATTGTAAGATATTGGTGTGTTTCATGCATCTAGTCAGTCCTTGTCCACTTTAGTTCTTGACTCTGCAAATCCTTTTGTACCAAAAAAAACAAAAAGAACAAAGAAGATTGTGGTGTATCTATGTATCATTTTAGTGAATGCTTTAAATTGGGTATAAAGGTTCAAACTTGATCAGCCCGATGATTGCAGAGACCGATGTAAGGATTTGCTAATTCCTACGCCGGTTAATTCTCGGGCTCTGTTCCTAATTTGTCCGATTTGACACGGACCTTAGAAGCGACAAGGATTTATTTGGGCCTTTATGCTTTTAAGCCTTTTGGGCCTCACAGGTTAGTTCAGATTATATTGAAAGTGTTAAAATTAAAAATTTAATGAAAAACACCATTCATGTAACTCATCAACATCAACTGCTTTGACTTATAAACAGTGAACCTATATCTTTCTCTCCTACTTCACCCTCCAAAATAAATTTTAAAAATTCACCTCAGAAAATAACAAATACAAAAATCAACAAATGAAAAAGAGGAATACAATTAGGGTTCCAAATAAACAGGTAATATTGAGGAATTTTTAGAAGTTCTACTACTTCCAAAAGAGAAGAAACATCTCTTCATCACTCTGTTATTACCACCACCACTACTGCTAGTACTATCTTCACTGTCTCCAGCTACCGGAATCTGCCTGTTTCTCCGGCTGATTTCTTCTTGGACCGCCAAGTACAGCTGACGATCCACTGATGAATCCATCGAGATCGATCTTCTTATGGGGTGAATTTCACCAAAATGACCATCTTTGCCTCGAGTATCGATACATTCGTCTCCCATACTCGTCATTTTGTGAAATTTGCTCTCTTTCTTATGCATTCCGCGATTATCAAACTTTCTAGGCAAAGGGCTCATCGATTTCGAGCTGTTTCCGGTCGAGACCTGGTTCGAGGCAACCCTTTCTTGTTCCGTAAGGAAGTCTCTGTTTCTCACGCTTCCCCTGTTATTACCATTACTGGCCCCAAGCTCGATCACGACGAAGTCATCATCGCTTCCAAGAACCAGGCCGGGTTCAAGATTCCTATTCCGTGAATGAGGGCTATTCTCCGGGGAAGAGATCGGTGAAGAGATTAGGTCAAGAGAGAAACTTGCGTCGCAAGAAACGCTGGTTCTGCACAATGGACAATTAGCGTTCCCCTGAAGCCAAATATCAATGCAATCAATGTGAAACACGTGGCAGCAGTTGGGAATAATCCTTAGCTTCTCGTCTTCTTGAAACTCGTTTAAGCAAACAGAGCATTCTTGAGAGTTCTTATTCTGATCATCTTCTCCTGCAGCAACGTCTCTCTTCTTGAATTTAAAGACTGGGATAGCTCTAATGGCGGATTCGTCGAGTCCTCTGTTTACTTCATGAGGAGAGTAAATCATTAGAGGGTTTTGGTCACTGCTTCGTCTGCGGCGGCGGAAGATGTCGATTTGGTGCCAATTTAGGCAGCATTTTATCACGAAGATGTAGTAACTTACAAGCAAGAACGCAGTAGCTAAGATTCCGATCACTGCGATGGCGATAATGGGGAAATTCGTGCCGGATGAGCTTGTTCGTGGGAAAATAGGGCTTGTGAAGGTCGTCGATGGCGGCGGAGGAGGCGGCGGAAAAACCAGATTAGTAAAAGGGTTACGACGGTCTGTTAGATCCATTTGACAAGAAAAATCTAAATGAAATGGCCCTTTAGGATTTGGAGGGCAAGATTCAGTAGAAAAATAAAAACAAATCAAGAAATCATGTAGTTTTTTCTATCGAATCTTTCTCTTTCCGTAATCAAGAATCTGAAGTGATTGTGTGTGTGTATATATACCTATTTGCGTGTGTAAGAGAAAGACCAGAATAGTAGAAGAGATAGTGGTAGAGAAGAAAAACAGAGATGAAGTAATGAAATGGAAGAGAGAGAGAAAGAGTTGGTGAGATTTCAGAGGCTCTTATATGATTCATTTATTTATTTAGGTTATCATCTTTCTTTTCTGTCAATATTTAAGTTATCATCTTGCTGAATCTTTTAGGACTAAGGAGTAATATTTTTCTCGATCTATATATATGACTCGTTTGTTGTAAGAGTTTTCTATTTATTTACCCTTATTTAAACGGTTTCTTGTACCTCTTTTGGTGTGGAAAACAATAAGGAAAAACATACACTTATATTCAAGTGGAGTAATTTAACTGATTAGTTTGAGTTGGATCTTCTGATAGTGTTAAAGTTTTGTTTGTCCATGTAGATTACGTTTATATTTAATTCATGTGTAAATGATGATAAACTTGGATTCGCTAATACAGTATCTGTGATTTGAACACCAGCTCACCACACTTGTCGGTTTCTAATTAAGTTCATCTTCTGTCTAATTTTTTTTTTTTTTTTTTGTTAAAGCTGCGTAATAATATATATAAGTCATCTCATTGAGAATATCTGCAAGTAATTTGCTCAAAATATTATATGGTTACAAATAGATATTGAAGATCTAAGTTATGGTTCGAAACGATACAAAAAGACGCAAGGTTAGTAAGACCTATCCTTTCTCTGTCTAACCCCGTCAAGAAAAAAAGGTCAAATCTACCGCAAGACATAATTCCAAACTTTTCATTTTAGATCTATAAGAAATGAGAAGAAAAATAAAAACAACAACAACAACACCGGCAAACACCAAACAGAATAAAAAATGAAAAATAAGGACAATGTTTCCATACTCTATCGTGTATGTATGTTTGACGAGTTTGGCTCACGACAGAACAGAACATAATAGGTTCGGTGAGCAATACAGATTCGTGTTATAATTGAATCTTTTCTCTTGTCAATCAATTATTATATTTAGCAAAACAATATTAATAAAATACATATATACCCGTACAGTTATCTATTTCAAATAAAAATTATTTTTGTTAAATATTTCAAATATTTTTAGTACTTAGCTTGTTTGTGTCATTTTGAGTACGTATTTGTGACTTTGTGTATTTATTTTGTTGGTATCAATTTGTGTATTTATCTATCATCTAAGTATGTATAATCGATTTTTCATGGACGTAGATGTGTTTGCAATTGCAAGATATATTATATACTATAAATACTTTAATATATATTATATACTTTCTCTGTTTTACAAAGAGTGTTATTCTAATATTTTTCACATAAATTAAAAAAAATAAATAAATTTCGTTTTTACCCCTTATTAATACATTAAATAATACCCTCTATCTAATCAATAAACTAAAATAGTGAATATAAAAAAAGAATTAGTCTTTAAAACTGCATTGAAAACACAAGACGACACTCTTTGTGAAACAAAATTAAAACCTTAAAACCTTAAAACGACACTCTTTATTAAACGGAGGGATTACCATAAATACACAATCGACTTATGGCGTTCTCAGTTTTGTCCTAACATGATAAAAATGAAAACGTGCCCACGACGGAGACAAACCTTAGTGGAAATTAATTTGTTTTTTTTATCCGAACAATTATTATTCTGAAGAAACTAAGTCTCCCGATGAAAATCACAACTGTAGAGAAAAAAATATAGTGGGACAAATAACAAATCGACAAAATTAATTAGATTCAGATCCATGGTTACAATTAAACTTACAAATATACAAATGCTACCAGAGCAGAGCAGCAGAAGAATATTTCATACAGAACTTAATGATACTGTATTTACTTAAATCTAAACTTTCTTAAATCAACAATAGAAACAGCTTATTCATGAAACTTGTGAAAAACTCAGTAGTTTTCACATGACTGACAACAGCTGTGAAATCGTTTGGTTCAAAATTTGGGGATTTTACGAGAATCCAATGATTTATACAATCCAAACCTTTGAGAAATCCTTTTTTTTTATTATTATTATTATTATATTTTTTTATTAACCTTTGAGAATCCTAAAGAAAGGGTTCAACATTTCAAATTGAATTTGTTTGACTGTAACACTAACAATTGACTTTGACTAGAGATTACTCGTTTACGAATGAGGTCTTGAGGATTCATCATCATCATGCGCCACGTCGACCAGTCAGGTCAACACAGCAACGGTGAGAAGATGGATCAGCAGCACGTGATGCTTGGTCGGTCACGTGTGTGCGTCAGACCATCGATACACGTAGCTCCGAGATGAACTCGACCATTATAATTTTCTCTGTCTTGTTTTGATGTTTTTTTTTTCGATGCTTTTTCTTTAATACAGTTTTTGTTTTGATGTTCAAGATTTTCTATTAGTTACATTGATCACTGATCAGGATATATCGTGTCTAGCCCTACGCTGTATATATGCACAAACATATTTAAAGGGAAATTAATTAATAGAAATTCCAGAACTTAAGCTGGTCAAGTATCTAGATCAGTAGATCCGATGATTTTCTTGTTTGGCTAAATAAAAGAGATTTAATAACAAAATGCATTTCAAAAGAACAGCTTTAGCCCACCAACCTTGAGTATCGACGATCTCAAACTAAAGGTTGACTTTTCTTTACCATTTATGTGTGTGAGTCAAAACATCCTATTCCGATGCTAATTCATTTAATGACGGATCAGGAATGAGTAATAACTAATGAGACCCAATTTAACAACACACTGCATCTTATTAACTTAAATTATCTAGTTAATTAATTATGTCAATATGGAAATATTATGTAAAAACTGGATAAAGTTGTCAAACAGAAAAAAGCATAAATATGATGTAATACAGTATAATCTGTTCTTTTTCCATAAACACGAGAACTGTGAATAAATAAAAACGGCTCTACCAAGAAAAGAGAATTGTAAAAAAGTGATGTCATTTGTTTCTTCGTTCGTTGACAGAAACCAAAAAAAAAAAAAAAAGGAAAATCTGTTTCGCCATTCTTCCTTAATTTCTTCTAGACCCATTTCGGGTAGCTGCGTGGACCACATGTGGGTCACGAGTAAACTTGGGCTGGGCCATTATATTTTCAATGTCCAAAGATTATGTCAATTTATTACAAAGAAAATAACGTGTGTCAAATTTTACAAATATCTTAAAATAAAAATTATGTCAATTATTATTTTGATATTCATTTGGAAAAAAATTATTTATAGCATGAATATTCATAATATTGTATGAATATCTTTTTTTTTTTTTTGGTAGGAATTGTATGAATATCTTTGAGTTCAACCATTTAAATTCTTTTTGTTCTTTAATTAAAAGAATGAAAGAACAAATGTATTTAAATTATAGATTAAAATATATATTATTATTTATAGTGCTAATTATGAAAATTTGATTAATCAGTTAATTTTTATTTTCTCCCAGTAAAATTTCGATCCACTAGAACTCTCGTTTAAATTGATGGAAGATTTTCCAAAAGAATTGGTCAATATATATTATTGATTTCAAGATATTTTACAAGATTTTCAAATGATATTTTTAACTTTTAGAAGCTTCATCTATGTTAGGGTTCTTGTTCATAAATTAAACTTTTATTAGGTTCCTTCATGGACGTTGCCGATTATATGATAGATCATAGATTCTCCTTATTATAAATGTTAGTATTCAATTAGTAGGTTCATGCACGAAGACATAAAAAGACTTTGGGTCTAGCTATGTGTTGTCCCCAACCTCGAGAGGCCTTACACTAGTCGTAATGGTGACAACAATATAGATTCTGATTCTATATCAATCGAAACCACACAATCTTCTTTTCCCCATAAATCATTAATCTACAATAGATTAGACGTTAATTCCAATTTCTTGAATTTTATTCTTCTAATGTTGAATTAACATAGATTCATCTCACCTTTCAATTCAAGAAAGACGTCGGAAATGTAGATTGAAGATTGTTGAATTTTATTCTATAATAATTAGTTTTTAGCAGGCTCTAGTTTAAAATATTTTAATGATTTTCAAAATATAAAACAATCTTTAAAGAAAAAAATGTGAACTTTCAAATAGGTTGTTCAATGATATAATTTTTAATTTTGTTACTGTACCGAGTATTTTCAACAAAACGTTTCTAATTGGGCCTAACTTTCAAACCCAAAATCAGTTTTCGGTTATTTAAAACCTGGTTTATCCAAAATAAACCTTGATGTGACATTTTAACCATTTTTTTCACTATATGCAACTAATACAATATTTGTCGTGATTACCAAAAAATATTATATTTGTCGTGGACCGATTCAAAGTCAAAGCCAAGTCAGATTTAAACGACTTAATAAAATCGCAGTCATTATTTTAATGTGATTGAAAGGGACATGAACAAAGATAGTCTGAAAGAAGAACAAAAGAAGGAAAGGGAACTCCAAAAGCCTGTTTTGTAGACTAGTAGAAAAGATTTGGAATATGTACGGACATGTATAAGATCGAATCCAAGATTAGGAGCAGCCAAAAAGGGCCAATTAGTGTTTTTAAATATATATTTCTAAAAAGGTAATAAAAAGAAAACTTGAAGAAGTATATACTTCCTCTGTGAAAGTTTGATGTTCTACTGTTTTAGGTTTGTTCCATAAAAATTGATTATTTAGTTTTTTATTTTATTTTTTATTAATTGATATTAACAAATCGTAGATTTGAAAGCGTAATGATTACAAATAATTAACTGTTTTAGATTACTATTGGTTTATACATTATTAAAAATATTTAATAAAAAGAAAAAATTATTAAATAATTAAATCATGATTGTTTCTTTACAATGATGATGAATTTATGATCAGCTAGGTGCATTGGACATGTTCGTTATCCTGTTTCCAAACTGACTTAACGTTAATTATATATATTTTTATTTTTAATCACAAATTCACTATCCACATGGATGTACGACTCATTAGAAAAACCCACGTGACAAATAGGCTAATTAATAGGTTTATAAAATTCAATTTCGACAGAGTTCTAGAGTAGTGTCAGTAAAATAATTGAGATTTACGGATGAAAGATACTATGGAATGTTCACTTATACGTAGTCCTCTCATAGAAGTTTCTTAATGACAGTGACACCTATTGTAAAATTTATGGAACTTTAGCGATTAAATTTGTGGACCTAGTAGCTAACTAAAGAAAATTATATTTGTTGGCTCAACGAAGTCCGTATATTTTAGTTAGAAGATTCAGATTCTAGTATATGTAAGGTATTATAGGCTTTGGATTCTTGTTTTGCAGTTAACAACTATATAGTGTATTTCAAAGTAATATTTTTAGTATTTCTGTTTATTTTAATTTTGACAACGTTCTCGATGATTTTGTAGTCTTCTTACTTTGCATTTAAATTGCCAAGTGAATAATAAGATATGTCGAATATTTGCATACAAGTAAACAATACCAGGACCGATCCAATGTACTACTAGTAAACGGGTTTTTGCTTGGTTAGTGGTATGTTCGTAAACTTGGATGTTAAGAAAAATTAATTGATCCAATGTACTCCAAATTAATTTTGTCAATAAAAATTAAAACTAATTGATGTGAAAATATCTCTAGAAGGTAAAAATTCTCCAAAATGTAAAGTCATGTCAAGAACTTAGACCCCTACGCGTAGATTCTGCATTAAACAAAAACATTTGATAAAAAAAGAAGAGTATTTAATAATGGTCCAACGAAAGCTTCTGAGTCGGTTTTGAGAGTCAACCCACGTGGGCATTAACGAAGTCCCAAGTCAAACATATTCCTCTGGGTCCTCCAATCAACTCTTTTATTCAGCACACATCATATTTTTGGTAACAAAAATTCCATTACTGTTGCCAAAAATACCATACAATATAGTTTTATATATTAGTTTAAGGGATTATCATTTTTTTTATAATAAATTTCTTACTTTTTGTAAAAGTTAAACTTCAGTTAAAAAAAGGTCTAGTAGTTATTCTCTTTAGCTACAAACTAGCATATTTTAATTTTATAAAAAAATACTCTTAGCATAAAAGATATAACGTAAAAAATTAAATCATGCAATATTTTCATATGTAAACATGTAAACGAACAAAATAATAATTTCAAGATTATAACAAAAAATTGTATATATTTTTGTTGCACATGATACTTACCATATTATTGATGTTGTACATTTCGGAAATTCCATACAGTATTAGTAGTTATTATTTTATTTTTTGATAAACTCTATGAATTCGATCATTTTCGATAGAAATACACTAAGATATTATAGAGTGAACTACTCTCGTGGTTCAACGATTCATGCAAATACCATGAATTCCAAGCGGATTCGGATCGAACGGACCATGAGATATTGAGATCCAGAATTGAGCCACCACACTGTCTGATCCGAGTTTGGAATGTTTTCCGACTAATATCAGGAAGTAGTCAGACCACATGTATTTTTGACTACTAGATAAATCAATTAGACCAAAGTAACAGATTTCCTATATAAATGTGTTTTTGTTTTTTGGAAGGAGATCAAACTCGGTATCTAGGAGTTTCAATTTCCCTTACAAACCACATATGCGCAGACAGTTACTTTCAGACTTGTAAAATAAAATAGCTAACAAATAAATAAATGGTAGGAGTAGATGCCAAATGTATTGAATTCACGACACCAATAGCGTAAGGAAAATCTATTATATCAGAAACATCAATGTTGAAGGAGAAAAAGGTATAAAGAACATCTACATAATTTTGATAAGTGGAGAGTTCGAATTTCGAATATTAGGTTGATGGACCCACTTGTTTCCTTGCCTATAAATTCCACAAATCAAATCTCATTTAATCCATGCAAAATTAAAAACACAAACAAAGACAAAAAAAACAGACGCTAAATCTTGTGTCCGTTCCCTCAAACACCCATTTCTTCTTCTTATTCTTAGTTACTTAATTTGTCTCTGTCTCTCTTCTCACACACAACAGAATATACACACACATAAATATATGGACCAAGGAGGTCGTAGCGGTGGGGGTGGAGGAGGAGGAGGAGCCGAGCAAATGAAGTACCGTGGAGTAAGGAGACGGCCTTGGGGCAAATACGCAGCAGAAATAAGAGATTCTAGGAAGCACGGAGAGCGTGTGTGGCTAGGGACATTCGACACTGCAGAAGACGCGGCTCGAGCCTATGACCGAGCCGCCTATTCAATGAGAGGAAAAGCCGCCATTCTCAACTTCCCTCATGAGTATAGCATGGGAACCGGATCCTCTTCCACTGCGGCTAGTTCTTCTTCCTCGTCGAGGCAAGTTTTTGAATTTGAGTACTTGGACGATAGCGTTTTGGATGAACTTCTTGAGTATGGAGAGAACTATAACAAGACTCATAATATCAACACCGGTAAGAGGCAATAAAGGGAATGCAATCGTTGTAGATTGAAAGTTATGTGAAAGAACATTTTCATTTATAACAAATAAAATAAAATTCCAAGCGTACAAAGATGTTTCAACTATTGGCATGAATTGTAATTGTCAATCGATTTCTGTAACGAATAAGATTGTTTAAGCGGGTCATATATTTTAGTTTCTTGAACTTCAAAGTTCAAACGGGTCCTTGTGTAATTAGTTTTGAGAAGATATAAAATAATGATTATGTGAAACATCCTTTTATGTTTTGTGACGTGCATGTTGATTGTTGATATATTTGTTACCTTCGTGTGATCATCTAAATGAGCTTACATTTGTTAAAACAAATCAAATAATGAAAGAAAACTAATATTTATATGATATCCCTATTATATACATTGTTCTAATATAACTACCAGTATTTACAAATTACAAATACGTTGTGTTTTACGTTTGAAATATGTAATTCATCTTACAATTGTTTGTTAATTATTCCTCTTCCATTCATGAATTTTACTGAAAAGGCATTTTGTAGACGCATATATATGTACAATTTGAGACATAATTTTTATAAGCAATTGAGTTTAGTTTTTTTTGTTTGTGCGAAAAGCAATTGAGTTTAGTAAGTTTTGTAAGATATTTAAATAATTTATTTTTTGAAGTAGCCGGGATAAATGTAAACCAAACACATGGTAATATATGTAGAGGGACTGAAGGAGTGTACAATTTTTATTTTCTAGTACTTGGAGAGAGTTATTTAATTGGGTTGGATATTTTGATTTTTTTTGGTTTATATGCAATTCGGAATATTGATGTCCAAATTAAAATCTCGATTTTTTACTTTCTAGACAACCATAGTTTATATCGTTGAAAACGCCAAACCGGGGAGAATTACAAACGAACATATATATATATATATATATATATATATATATATATATATATATATATATATATATATATATATATATTTTGAATAAAATGTCAAATTATATTCAAAAAGAAAAATATACTTTTTACATCAGCTGTTTTTGACTTTTTATATCAAATAGAAAACAGAGGTTTGAAGAAAAACAGGGAAAACAGGGCTTTAAGCTTTGAATGGTATGTTGGTGTGTGCTCTAGATGCGGGAGGCAAACCATGTTTATAATCCTTTTTCATATCTCTGGTCTCCTTGTCTCTGAATTACTGAGAGTTGGTTGCGAACTTGCTTATCGATCCAACGAATGAGGTTGATAGGTGTGTTAGGGTGTTCTCCTTGCCGTCGAGCGTTCCTCTCTCGCCAGATCATGTGAATCGAGAGTTGGAACATGTACTTGATTAGGAAACTGTGGATACGATCCGGGTGCGACTCCGATATGTACTCCACAAGTGTATTCCAATCCGTTGAGAACCGAGTTTTGAATACGTTTTTTTGCAGTGGCTGTCCAAATCTCCGAAGCATAGTGACATGAAAAGAAGAGGTGGTTGCGGGTTTCGATGGGAGTAGAGCAGAACGCGCATGATGTTGTGGAGCCATTGTTCCAGCCCATCATACGGTCTCCGGTCGATAGTCGATTTTGTAGTGCTAACTAGGCGTAAAAGGAGTATTTCGGTGTTGCATGAGCAAACCAAACTCCTTTGTGCCAAGCCACTCTGTTCGATGTTGTTCTGATATGGTTACAAACGAACATATTACATATAGGTCCAATAACTCAAAGAATTGGGAATCAAAATAAATAAAAATACGGGACAATTTCTTTGAGTTTTCAAAGAAAATAAATGCGTGGAGAAAAAAAATCACTCGCACGCCATGTTTTCACCTTAATTAAAGTTGTAACAAAGCGTATATGATCTCTATAAGAAAGAAAAAGGATCTTTGTAAGAGCATCTGTACTGGTGAGTCTCTCAACAAAATCTCCCTGTGTACAAAAATATTACTAAAATAATAAATATTATTATTTAACTATATATGTCTCTTAAAAAAATTGAGAGAATCTTTCATAATCTCTCATTTGAGAGACTCTCTTAACTTTTTTTTAGAAACTCATGTAATTAAATAATAATATTTATTATTTAAATACTATTTTTATATCTGAAAGATTATAGTGAAAGACTAGTACTGCACATGCTATAATATTTATATTTGTTAACCCATTAATTTTTGTTTCTGTCCCGATATAAAAAATAACTAATTAACCAACAAATTAAACTTATTTTAGTTAAAATTATAGTATATTGATATTTTCAATTAATGTTCTACTAAATTAAGATGAATAACATGAATAAATTTTGGTTCAGTTGCATTAACTTCAACTTTAAAAAAAATGTGGGCTCGGCTTATAAGTAAGTAAACACAGAGACCTTTTTATGTTAGGTTTCCACCAATCTCTTCTTTGATTGCTTCAATGGCGTCGTCGCTTCTGGACCCACCGGCGGCTAGCCAAGTCAAACCTTGTTTCGAATCACCGGAAACTCCTTTTCGCCGCCACCGAAAGGTCGGATCGGAGAGCCGTGCCGCGATTCCTTGACGCACGAACCGTGTTGACGACGCTGACTCTCGTCGAGGAATGTTATTGTTTGCACGAGTGCCTTCTTGAATCATCATGAAACCCTAACTCTGAATCTTCTGGCTCTGTTCGAGTTCCAAGGTATCCCCAGGATTGAGGGGAATATATTAAAGCCTTAGACAGGTACTAATATGATGCTCTGACTAGTTACGATTGGATAAAATTACTTGATAGAGATTGTTGAAGCCACGGAGAAGAGTAAGTAAACAAAGTTTGAATCTATAGATCCAATATAAAGCACAGATGTTTCAACACATACACACACACACACACAGACACACCATTTGTTTCTTATCATTGGTACAATGGTTTTGTTATTGCAGACTCAAGAACAGAGTGCTAGCTTTACATCGATAAGAAAAGGACGGACCATAGACAATATATCTGAATACATCAAACAGGGTATTTTTACCTAGCTGTTTTTTTTTTTTTTAATCTCATATCCTGTAATGTGACAGATGCGATGTTCCATCTAAACCTTTCTCAATGTATCCCTTTGAGTACTCTGGTACAGTGAAGTCTCTGTATTTTGGAGGGTTTTCTTCAGAGAGAAGCTCTTTGATTGGTCCGTAAACTGTGGAATTTGGATTCATACTCGAGCTGAAAAAGCACGCGATTGAAATCCTCGGTCCAACTTTATTTGCAAGCACCCTATGTTCAACGCTTATGAACTTGTCGTTCGTCATCAGCTGCACAAACCAAATAAGAAAACCTTAGGTGAGAAAGTAATCCAATGAATCTCTCACTAAAACCTCTGTTTTATGTTCAGGGTATCTTGTACTTTTAGGTATAAAAGTATAGATCATCAATGAGCTTACCTGCAAGAAATCTCCTATGTTGATGACAAGAGCCCCGGGAAGAGGCGAGACATCGACCCAACAGTCTTGATGAAGAATTTGAAGACCACCAATGTTGTCCTGAAGAAGAATGGTGATAAAGGTGTTGTCGGAATGCTTACTTGTGCCTAAAGTTAGGTCAGGTTGTGGACATGGAGGGTAATAATGGCAGATCATATGCAAACCCTTCATGCAACCCATACTCTTTAGGGCCTCAGAGCTCAAACCAAGAGCTTCTGAGAGAAGTTCAAAGAGCAAACCACCTAAGTTCATCACATGCTTTGAGTATCCGATCATAGCATCCCTGAGCCAGTGATGTTAGAATCAATAATGAATCTTCAATATTTCCTAAGACTACTTCTCAGTGTAAAACAAAATTACCTGCAAGCCACTGGGAGATCCTCAGGGTTTGGAGGATCAGGAGCCATGTAACAAGCGAAAGAGTCTCTCCAGTTACCAGCAGACGAACTGTACAGTTCGAAATTATTGTGGTAGATAAAAGTTTTTGTGAAGTCAAGCGAGAAGTAAGATTTCTTAACCTCAGGATCTTCCTCATGAAACCTAACAACTCCATTTTGAATCTCTTCAAGAACACTTGAAGGAACACCATGGTTGATCACCTGGAAGATTCCCCACTTCTCTGCAGCGTCTTTGATCTTCTCCACAACGGCTTCACGTGACACATGGACGCCTGCAAAGTCGATGACAGGTATTGCAAAATCCGAGGTAGGTTTCTTGTCGTCTAAGGCAACTGGAGGAAGGCCAAAGATAGGAGGAACCTTGGTCTCTTCGAAAGACTTGCGCTCAGTACTGTAAGAGTTGCATTCGATCGAGTTTTTCGCCACCATTTATGTATTTTGTTTATCTCCTTTTATTTCCTCACAATAAAGCTGTTTATGTAGCGAACACAATGAGAAGAAGAAGAAGAAAGAGATGATTCAACAAAAGAGAAACGTGGAGAGGTCATGCGAAAAACGAGAAGCGTTACATACTATATATAAAAAGACAAGATTCAGAGTTTGGTCTTTGTTACGTGGAGCCGATAGTATGACCGTTTCGTGATGCTTAAAATGTCCGTTTTGTGGTTCGATGTGCAACAAAGAAAGCAATTAATTAAACAGGTGAAATGAAAAGATACAAAGTGTTTTTTTTTTTTTTTGTTCTTACAAGGATAAAATAAAGGGAAACTCACCTATCCTATTTATTTATAAATAAGCATACATACAAGAATCACACAAACATCTAATTTGAAGATTAAAACAACCAAATAGTTGAATAAGCGATAGATAATATAAATACACCATTTATAAAATCTTTTAATTTGCACCGTAGCTTTTCTAAAGCACTCAAAAATGGAATCAACAAATTTATGTACTTTTTGTTTCTTAATCGAATCTGATCTATGGAAGGGGACTAAAAACTGGTTGCGGAAGTAGAAACGACCAAAGAGCTTAGAAATCAGAGAGAAGCAGAAGAGATCGTAAGCGTCGATGAAGAAGCTCATGCTGTCGATGACGATATCAATGAAAATGGAAAAGAGTGTTTTCGCGACGTCAAGTGCTGCCTTCAGGAACTTCACCATTTCCTTCATTGCTTTCTTCTCCTTATTTCACACTTAGTTTTTCTAATAACTTCAAAGCAGAATGAATTTGTTTTTAACGGATGTATTATATTGGTAATAAGTGGCTCTCACGATTAACGTAAAATACTTGTCTATGAATTGACCTTTTAAGCATTGGACAATGTCATTTTCATTAACTTCGAACAGTACCCTTGTATAGCTTATAGAAATTACTTTGTACATTACCATGTTTGGCTTACAAAAATTTAATGTCTTTTTGTATATCTACTATAGAAACGTCGACTCTGAGACAAAATCCCACAATGGCACAACAGATATTGCACTCTATCGAAAACCATTATAACACGTATGATCTTCAAAAGGGATTAGTGTCAATAAATTGACTAACTATACCATCCCGGATCCTTTACATGCTTGGTCGATGATGCAAGGACATTAGACAGAACCAAAGAGCCTCATAGACTCCTCAGTTCTAGATTTCTCAAAAACCGTCAAAGCCCTCTTTAGCTTTTGCTTCTGTTGATATAACCGCCCTGTTGAGAGAACTGAACAGCGGCGGTTCGGATCAAGTTTACCAGCTCGTCGTCTAGCTCATCGAGCTCACCCGAGTCACGAAGCTGATGATATATAGGAGCTGCATGATTAGCAGCAGCTTCCACCAGTTTCCACATCGAGAAACTTGCAGCTAATTCAATTGTTTTGATAGATAACTCTCTAGCGGATTCCAAGCAACAGAGAATCACATGAGCGCAATCGTTTTGAAGATCTTCCATAATCCACCATTCAGAAAGCGAGTATATCTCCACGTAAGCTTGAAGCTCATCCAGTTTTGCCTCAGTGTCCATGTTGTTCCACTTGCAACCCGATGGAGGGTCTGGCAACTCATCAGAGTAGAACCAACTCACAAGTTTTGTTAACCCCAGCCAGCTCACAGGAACGTTTAGTCTATCCAAATGGCTGCAAATTTTTAAGATTCAAATTCTTAGATGTTGAGTCTTTTATTCCTCAATAAACACTAATTATCTCTGCCCAAATTACAGTAAATCAGACAGCAAAAAATACCAAATAACACCTCAGGTTTTGTCTACAAGAAGGGGTGGACACACATACCCAAAGTATAAACTGACTCACAGCTAGTTTTGGTATATATGCCAAAACTAGCCACTAACATACGTTCCACTATATATGCCAAACAAAAATTCTGTGAACTAAGAGCAATTGTTAGTTTGTTACATACCTCTCCTGCATCCCCGATCGGAACAAGGCACGTAGGTATTCACAGCCTGACGACAGTATAACTCGGTGAGAGTGGGCATGAGGAGATGTTAAGGAACACATACGGCAGTTGAAGCCAGCCACGTTTGTTTCTTTAGGTACTAATATCACATCCCTGAAATTACAAGAATACTATGATTTATACCTGGGTTTATCTGGTTGTTAGCGTCAAAAAGAATGATGAGACTCATAAACTTACGAGAAGTGGATGAGTTTCGGAGTGAGGGCAAGGGGTAAATCAATTCCGGGTATTGGAGATCCCCACTTGGGTCTTCTTCTGCTGAGCATCTGCAGCAGAACCTTTGCCTTACAATGTCTCGCCAAAGTTTTCAGCTTTTTCAGAGTCGTGCTTTCTACTTCCACATACCCGGAGTAAGCAAATTCCAATAATTTAACAAGCGCCAAAGTATCCACATTGGCAGACATGCGGATTTCTTGAACGGTTCTCTGAGATTTCTCAGTTAATATAGTCGAGCCACTGTGAGCTCCTTCCTTGGGAGGCAGCAACATTGGACAACTGACAGCAATAATAACTTTGTTTACACTCGCACTATTCCCACTAGCAAAAACGAGTCGCATATCACTAAATTCCTCATCTTCATAAGCTCCCATGAGCCTTTTCCCCAACTTATGTTGGAAGCCATAGTATCCAAGATAGCTTAGGATGTGTGCAGCATACCACCTTGGACCAGAGCCATAAGTTTCATCTCGGATCTCCTTAAGTGTGGTGCATAACCGATCTTTCAAATTTTCGCTCTTCACTGAAAGTTCTATAGCGTGATTCTGTTCAGAGAATGAATGATTTACCAACTCGGCCAAAGCCAACAGAGAGTATAGAAGAAAAGCATCTTTGTTGTCCCAGTCTTCCGTACATACCCAACAACATATCCTCTTTTCAGAGGTGCTCTGGGGAGAAGGAGCAAAACTTGATGCTCCAATATTTTTCCAATTCCTTTGATACCAGCTACAGAAAGATAACAGTATCTCTAAACCCTGGTTTCTTAAAATGAAACTCGCATATTGAGGGATCGATGAATAGCATGCCAAGCCCACCAAACAGACGGTAGTTTGGAGTATATTTGGTAGTATGTAACCTCCAGAAGATGGAATATAACGCAGGAAATTCACAAGGGAATTCAAATTTTGCTCACCACCTTCTTCTAGGATGAATGACAGGGTAACTCTGGCCCTCGATGATATGTATTTGGAGGGAGAATATATCATCATTAGCACTGCTCTTGATGCTGACTCGCTATGGGAGGCGCTGATAATATCATTTTGACATATTTGATAGCCTTTCTGAACCGACCTCGAAAAGGTCAAGCTTAAATAAAAAGTCGAAAGAAAAAAAATCAGAATAGATAAGATTATATCCAAAACGAAGCGGTTGGGGGAAACAAAACAACCAGTGTCTTACCATGCACATGTGACAAGAAAGTTGAGGCAGAGTTCATCTCCACGCAAAATGGAATCAAACTCTTCCTCACAGTGAGCTGCCAAGAATCCAATTATATCCCAAACGTATGACCTCAGACTAGGTAAATAATTGGCATTCAGTACCTTCTCAGCAACTAAAATTTCTTCATCCAGAGACACATAACCATCCAAGGATTGACTATGAAAATTCTCCACAACAAGACTAAGAAGCGTTTCAGAGATCCGATACTTCCAGAAATAAATATGATGTTTTCCTTCCCAACGAGTGATTAGACCCAGTTTACAAGCCTCCACAAGTAAAGACATCTGGTCATGTTCAAGCTTTCCTGAGCTCAAGAACCACTTACCCATGGTCTGAATGGTAGCCTTTACTAGGGACTCAGAACACATGTTTATCATCTTCAAGCACTCTCGGTTACCTGTCTGAGCAATGGCCACTGATTAGAAATCCAGAAAGATAGTTAAAATAAAGGTCAACAGGGCGAGGTGCTATTACCGCAAGCCTTTGTGCTAGCTTTAACCCTTCAATTCGGGCAGTTTGAGAGCTTGATTCCCCCATGCAGCTAATCATCATATCTAACATAGGCTTCCCATTGTCTAGAAGCTCATTGGCACCATGGCCACAAAGAGCTGAAACAGAGAAACACACAAGGGACAAGTTAAGGCCAATTTAGTTGGTAGCTCAGTAGAGAACATAAATATCCAGTTTTACAAGCATATATACCTAGAGAAGAATACAGCTTCAAAGTTACAACTCTCAAACCCATATCAGGCTTCTGACTAACACTCTCCAATATACCCATCAAGGCAGGGTTGTTCCAAACAGAATACCTTGACCGAGGCCACTTCAACATAATTGTACTCAGAAGCAAAGCCATCTCTTGAAACCATTCCACTGACATATTCCCCTCCAAAAAATTCTGCAGATTACCAACAACGGAAACCACAGTTTTTGCTTCTTCTAAAATCTTCCACACTTCTTTCTCCTTAGTTTCTCTTACGTTTACAAGAATAGCGTTCAAAGCAACGGCACAAGGAAGCGAAACATCGAATTGTTGACAACTTAACAGAGGTGATAAAGACTCCACGAGATCCAAAGAATATGATTGCAAGATAGAAGGAGGAACAATACGGATCAACCTAATAACTACATTGGCTGCCAAACCAACCACTGCTCTGTTTTTACACCCTAGAATAAACACCAAGGCCCCGGCTATATCAGAAATTGAATCCTAAGCAAGCACAAAAAAAAAAAAAAAAAAACTTGGAGTCAAGCAAGACAATTTCAACAAAAGTTAAGAACTTTCAACGAGCAGAGATAGAAATAGACCTTGATAAGACGATTGTTAGCTGTTGCTCGAGAAAAACAATCAAGAAAAGCTGAAATCGACTTCACGACATGTCTCTGTATCTCGATATCAGTACACTTCCACTTCTTCTCTTTCTCATCACATACCCTAACAAGCAACAATGAAAGATTTCTCAGGAAACAAATTCAAAAAGGGAAAACAGCAAATCAAACAACGAGAGATTGAGAGTAAAGAGAAAGAGAAAAAAAGAGAGGACCTGAAGCCAAGATTGAGAGCGTGATAAAGACGATGGTGAAGAGTATTGATGTGGGCGGTGGTG